AGGCACAAAAAAATTTTTTTTTCATAGTTTGCAACAACAAAAAGCCTTATTCTTTTTTTCTCGTTCTTTTTAAAGTACGTTCCAATAACAGTTTTAAATTCTTTCAATTCATTACAACTGTTTTTAGAAGGTGGAAGGGAAGGAGAGGGGGGAACTCAAATAAATGAGAAAGTAATACTTCGGTTTGTCTGTTAATTTTGACATATACTGTGCGGCCACACCACAAAAATTTACAATCACGTTGCCGATACGTAAAAACCCACATTCATATCAAATGTGCCACCAAAAGTCTTCTGTTTTGTTACATTTCAATCGTGAATCCAAAAATAAGTGTGTATAGAGATGTTGTATATCGATGCCTTTTATTTTCATCAATTTTTTTTCTGATAAAACTAAAATGCAAAACATTAACTGAACACCAATTCTGACAGTTCATTTTTGCGTCTGACACAACTGTTCGAATTCTTTAAACTTCCATTTTTATTACTTGATTTTTTTTCTTTTTTTTAAAACACATTTTTACTTCAGTTTCTTTGCTTTGATACCCGGAATAAACACTCTCAGATGCACTTTCAGACATCGTCATCATCATCATCATCATCACCATGGTCATCACAGTTTTCTTTGCCTGGTGGTTTTATACAAGTATTTTTATTAGTTGTCCTTTTTCGTCGTTGCATTTTTTTATCTTCTATGTTTCACCATTACTTCTCTTTACTGCAATTGTCGGCAGATTACTACTGTTTAAAGTGTTTTTTAAGCGTGAAAGAAATCAGTTGAAACATTTAATATCAAAAAAGAAAAGAAGCACAAAAAATTGTTGTTCTTTCTTTTGTTTCACCTCTGATCCAACTCTTACCGATCTGTAACAACAAATTGTCATAGCTATATCAAACAAAGTTTTTTCCAATGGTTTTTTTCGAAGCCAATCTGTTGAACAAACAGTCGACAGAATAATCAGCCTAATTGATTGTCGTTGTCTACCACTTTTTTGTCGCCACCTTTTATTTCGTGCCTAATAAGCAACATTTTTCAACAGTAAAATTTCAGTAAAGAAAAGATGAAAAAAAAATGAAGTAAACAGAAATAAATTACAGAATTACTAAAAACGTTTCAAAAAACAAAGATACAAAAGCAATTAATTTGTAAAAGTAACAACAGTACTACGCACTTGAGAAAGTAATTGTACTGAACGGTAAATAAACTGTATGAAAATTTTTTAGAACAACAGTACAATACTGATAACAGTTACTTTAAAGAAAAAAAAAAGATTTACAGCAATGTAGTACCAAATAAGTACTACCATCTTATTTAAACCTCACAAATCAACTTCTTTTTCCCACTTCTGTTTCTAAGATTAATACCAATAAGACATCGCAACACCCCCCCCCCGCGCTTATTTCTCACCGTCATCGGAATAATCCGTAGATGATAAAAATAGAAATCGCTGGTAATTTCTGACCAAATGACCGCTAAATTATAAACCTAAATTTTAAAGCTTCTTTATCGCAAACTTCTACGTCTTTGCAATAAACATCAGTAGTTAAACAATAAAAGTAAACTTTCAAAAAAGGCTTTTGATTGCCGCCTATAAATCGCCATCTCTGTAAGAACTTTTAAAACTACAGAAATTGTCAGCACAAAATTTTAATTATTTCTGTCAAAAAAATATATGCAATAACAGGGTAACAGTTCAATTAAAAAAGCTAAAAATTTGAATGACTAGGCAATATATTAACAGTCTGCTTCTGGGAAAGTAATTTAAAAATAGAAGATAAGCAGTAAATGTGCATCGATGGTGATATAAATATAATTAATACAAAACTCTAAGCATTTAACCATTTAAACCTTTACACAACAAAAATACTGTCGAAAAAAAAAAAGTAAAAACCAAGTTTCTCAGTTTTTTTTAATCTTAAGCAATTTCAGATTTTCATCATATTAAGACTGTTCTACTAAGCTTTTTTACAGATCTGACGCCTGATCATGGTATAGAATCTAAACTTCAGGTTACACAAAATGGTTCGCCACTTAAACACACAGAGTTGTTTCGTAGTTCTTCTCCACATCGCCTATTTTCTTACTTTCTAGTAACACTAACAGTGATGCTGTAATTGTTAAGTGTTAAAAAATCGGTAAGTCTATTTTGTTTTTTTTTTTTTCGAAGTAAATTCAAAAAGTGCTATTTGGATAGCACAAAAGGTTGAAAAGAACAACGTCTTAACTTTCGTAACTGTTAATTCGGTTAATAGGAAAAAATTTTTTTCTCACGGATAATTTTCACTGCTCATTCCAATCTAATGGATATCGACTTCATAATTCTTCCATAAATGCAAAAAATAAGTTTTTTGATTTAATACTTTTTCGCTTTTTCTAAGCGAAAAACAAGAAATAAATCAATACATTCTTTTTTCCAAATTAATCATATTTTATTTGAACAATAGAAAAAGGCTTTTTTTTACCTTTAATTCATTACATTTTACCTAATTCACAGACTTCAGTTTAAATATGCCTAAAAACTGCTTCCATTTACTTCGCTTTTCTTTCCTTTTCTACTTGAATTTTTTCCTTTCTTGATGTGATGCGTGACTTAAGACATCTTTAAACCAATAAATATATCAGCTAAAAAAATTTGTTAAAAATGAAACACCCAGTTTTGATACTAAAAATGACAACCAAAATAACAAATTACGTTATATTTTAAATATTTAACAAAAAAAAAAGTTTTCT